CTCCATATCTAATTATGGGAAACGTTTTGCAACTACAGTAGCGCTGGCTCAGAGCTGGTCTAGTTGGAACGGTGCCATGACGGCATTGGATGGGCATGAGGATGAAGTCATAGGCAGGGGACCCGTTCTGCAATTTTGGTTTGTTAAGGCGGTGGTTGTATAATTGACAATTGATGTAACCATCTAACCGTTTTGGTTCACTGGTCAGGTCTTCTGAAGATGTATCTCCCTGCTACCACGTTTATAAAGTGTGCAGCGGCAAAGCCACCGCTGAACACCCTCTTTGTGGATATAGACAGCAGCAAGATTTCCTATGTCAACCTGGAAGATTACCTGGACCTCATGCTTGCTTTGTATGACCTTTCCCCAGAAGGATCCTAGGGTTGCAAGATGATTTTGTGTTATTGCTAGCTGTGTATTGGAATGTTTTCGTTTCATTGCATGGTGAGAAATAAGGGGAGTACACGCAGAACTTCCTCAAGACTGTCTTTATGAAGCTGGACGAGTCTTCAGAACATGGACTGTCACAAAAACGGTCCCAGAGGGATAGGAAATCATGGGCGTCTGATGAAGCCACAGCTTTGTATGAACTGCTGTCTTACACCCGTCGCTACTGGCGAAAAGCCTTGAAGCGCAAGACCCAAGGGAGAGTTACTATGATTGCAAATATGTTGCAGTGCATGAATATATGTTATTTTTCATATGCACAATGAATACATATGAAATACATATCCAGTATACTTGCACTGCATGATTAAGGTTGCAGCTGCGCTTCTAGCTGTGCTGAAACCATGTGAGCGCCGTGCACGGCCAACTTGTCGGGGCACAAGGAAGTCTACATGTGATCAAGAGCCCCCACCTGCTGCCTCTGGGGAACACTCTTCAACCCCCAGTTCAAGCGACCCTGTCAATGTGGTGGATGATGATGACGTTGAGATTATCACACCCCCCGATGAAGGCACAATATTTATGTATGTGGTTTTCATTTGGCATGCATGGGAAAAATACCGTCGATCTCCATTCATTGTTATTCTCAATTTTCAGTCTGGGTGCCCTGGCTTTGCACGGAGGTGCTGTAGGATCCTCTGGCCTGAGAAACGTGGAAGTGGCTCAGCTACGCTTCTAATTTTCAGTCCTTCAGATCCTGATAGCATAAATTTACTTGAGCACCTGCATTTGAATTCTTGGGGTGGTCGTCAAATTTAAATGATAAATGTGATGAGTTTCGCATGTCTTTCCGGAAACTTATATAACCAATCCCATATGCCATATGCATTTTCCATATGCATGATTCCATGGTATTGAGGCATTGCCATCGAAACCATTGACCAGCCGAATGTCACGGATCGAGAGCCCTACCTGTTATGAAGTTCCCGACTCACAACCAAGAACTCAAGAAGAATGGGATTATTATTTCCCACCCAAGCTTCAGGTTTCCTCATCCTCGCGCCCCACCAGTGAAGAAAAGCCGGCCATTGACCATAATGTCTTGCAAATCTCTGATGACGAGAATGATGAGAAGGCCGATCACTCTAACATGTATGACGTGAAACCATGAGGAAATAAACAGTTAAGTCCTTCTCATACTTGGGGGTATAAACTATAGCTGTCGCAAGTGTATACATATATTCACTACCATAGTTGGCCATTAATGATGTAATTGAATATTGAACATACCCAGAGATACCCAAAGTATCATGCTCTGTGCGCCGGTGCGCCAGGCCCCACACCGTGGAGTGAGCTCGGAGAACATTTCGGATCATCAAGTTCCCTGGCAGCAACTGTGCTGACTGCTGGGCTTGGACATTGGACATGTGTGGAGGGATAGGCACATGAGGGTTGCCTAAAATGGGGGGACCCTCAAATCATGTTGGGAATTGGTATTACGAACCATGGGGTGCTTCTATTTGTCGAAGCCCACACACCATGCATAGCAACAAAACACATATCCGACATAGAGCATTAATTATAATATTAATATGGTCTGCCGTTCAAATTTATTTTTATGGATGCACAGGCAGTTTTTAATGCCCTATACTTGACTTGGGTTGCTCGCCTGTGATGGGTGCTTAGGTTGACCAATGGGAATCCAGTTCCGAAGATCTTGATATCATATGCCTCGATGATCATCCTGAACAATGCCTACGCAATCGTGAGAACGTGGTTGCACCAGCCGCTCTGGGGGGGGAAGTGACGCACCGGGACCCGAAGGGTGTGTGCCAAAGGGATGCGAGTCACTTTCATCACCCCCTGAAACAGCCAGTCTTGTGATGGTTGGTGATGGATCAGGCTTGCAACAGTCCACTGCCCCACAAGCTGATGGTAGTAGTGCCGCAAAAGTCAAGGGCGACCATGTAGAATACAAATACCCTCTCCCAGAAAAGCCACCGTTTGCAACCGAGATTAAAGAGACCCTTTCAACTGCCGCACCACCTGACTTGAGCAATCAGGGAAAACCTCGTGGGAGGAAGAGCCATGCTTCAAAAGCCATAGCTCAGGAGCTTGGGGATGCCAGTGATGAAGAAACAAATGGGGATGAGTCTAAGACAGCTAGAAAAGGGAAACCAGCCACCAAGGCAAAGTCAAAGACAGCCAAAGGGAAAGGAAGGGGGAAGGCCACACCTAACAGGATGGCAAAGCCGACGCCCAAGGCCAAGGCGAAAGCCAGTCCTAGGGGAAACAAAAGCAAGCCGAGCAAGAGCCGAACGGGTAGAAAGGAAACCAAAGCAGATGATGAGCCCAAGACCAAAAAAGCAAGAACAGCACGAGCAATCAGGATGGCTGCCACTGATGACAGTGCCATGTCAGCCATGTCAACCGGGGGAGCTTCGCGGATGGGTTCCAGTGACATCCCAAACGATGCACAGCCCGCCCCATCCCATGTCAGCCTTAACAATGTCTATTCCAATACTTACCGAAAGTATTTGGCATCCAAACCGGATGACAAGGAGGGAGCCAGGACAGTGGCCAAAAAAGCTACTGCCCTTTTCCGTGAGCATGGTATGGTGCGACCAGTTTGGACCGGCACTTTTCAAAAGAAAAAGGGTAATTAGATCCCTTTGTCGGCCTCAGCCTAGACAGTACCCCATCACACAAATGAAAGATATAGGCACCAGATACATTCGAATTATATTTATCGATTTGCAATTTAGATAGAATTCCCAAGTTTTGACTTTGCAATCAACCTTTTTCGACTCAAATGGGGGGCTGACGTAGTGCTGTTTTGGTCACCTGTGTCTGGGTGTGGCAACAATGATGAATTTATTTGACATTTCAGCCATATGGGGTTGATTCAAAAAAGTGAATGCCACCGAGGACCTATCTATAGCATCTTCTTTCAACACCGCGGGTTCCATGAGTCGAAACATCATCGATTGTTTCAGCACTGGTCCAATGATTTCATTCTGTTCACCTACTTCCATATAGGAACAAGGGCGTGTTGATGTAAGGTTTCAAATCTTCAATTCGGCCATGATTGCCGTCCCATGCAACTTGCGCCGCCTGGGAATGCGGCCGTAGAGCGATGTTGGCAGATGGCCTTTGCCAGGAGCAAAACGGTCAAACCATGGCACCCTTACTGTTGAAACCATTGCGATCAAGACATTCAGTAGCATTGATCGTTGTGCAGAAAGTAACAACACATGCAGAACATAGATCATAATGATCATATGAATGTATGGACCACGATCACCTTGTCAGTCTTTTTGGTTCATCCCCAGCATTCTGGACGACAAGGGTGCTTTGGTTTGCTAATTGAGCATCCCAGCTGCAACTAAGACCCAAGCTCTCACATGTGTTCAAAAGATATACATTCAAGTCGCATTGAGAGATCGAGCTTATGTGGATTTCCCTTGACTTGCACGACAACCACTTATCATATAACCCTCTTAAGGTCTCTAAAAAACCCATGATGTTCTAGGGTTCCCAAATGCTTTGCAAAGGTTCATTCCTTCCTCCCGCTCTTGCCCGGCCGATACGTGTCTAAGGTAGCCAGACCATGCCACCCAAAGCATCAAAGTCATCGATGTCGTTTCCTGACATGACGGGCAGCGGGTGGAAGTTGGCAAAGCAATTCTGTATGTTATAGGGAGGAGCGCGGATAGATCATATAGTATTCACCTGTCCTTCCTTCATATTATATCATACTTGTTTAAATTGAACCCATGAAAAAAAGTTTAAATTGTTTTCTTGTTTTTTCTTGGAGATCCCTGGACAGGGTAAAATCTAAATCTAACCAGTTTTTCATATACAGTTTTTTTAAAGAGTTTATGTTAACCATGGTGCGCCGTTTAACACCCGACCGCCCAGGCTGATTCCAGCGCCCCATCGGGAGGATGAGGATGTGGACATCGCGGAGAAGATTCCCCGGGGGCCATCATTGAAAGGACCTTCTAGGCCTGGGTGTCTCCCATATAGGATTTGGGTTATGATGCAACTTCTAGCTGTTGCATTCGCTCCATTGCCAGAGTTGGCATGCGCTGACCTCTTTGCGGGGAAACGTGCGCTTTCCCGTGCATTTGTTGGTCATGGGGAACCAGCCGTGGCACTGGATATCCTCCTTACTCCAGATGATGAATCTGGGGCTTTATAGTTTATGATTAGTTTTGTGGCGTTTGATCAAAAAATAACTATCAAACATACAATGATGATGTCTCAATCTTAAGGCATTTTTTCGAATACAAACCCGCTGTGCTCAGGACATTCTAAGCCCACTCGGCTTTATCCGTCATATGTTTGCAGCCATGCATGTGCGACGAGGTGGATTATTGTGGGCAGGGGTGGTCTGCTCCACATTTTCGGTGGTAAATCGAGGAACATCAGGCCGAACGGCTGCCATGCCAAAAGGTCGAGAGTAGCTAGACTCAATACTTTCCATGAATACACTATATGTTTCAACAAGTGTTACTTTCAGACATGATGCATGTTTGTTAACCCAGGGGTTCCATTGAAAACAAAAACAACATCTGAGGTATTATAAAAGCGTGCAGCGGGGCAATCTGATGCTGGTCCGTGTTGCGTGTCTGCTTTGTTTTGCGTGACCAATGTCCATCAATGTCCCCATATGTATGTCACCCATGTTTTACTTTTTACCATCGCCAGCTGCCTTTACTAAGTCTGTGATTTTATTCATGATTTCTATCTTCAACGGCGCCCATTGGGTTATCGAAAATCCTTCGACATCACTTGTCGAGACCTTACTTTTGCGATTATGGATATCGTTCAATAGAATGATTCCCGTGTCCGCTGTGTCCCAAACCCCATGGTGTCCTTCACCAGCTTGTTGGCTCTGAGATCTTTGAAATGCCTCGATTCAAGACGTTCATCGAGCGGTGGGGTGCACATGCTGTGAACATGTGGCTTGGTATGTATGGAGCCCCCACATGGAAGATGGTGAAGATCTTCAGTTCAGATCCATTTATCTACCGTCTCTTCAGGACGTGGTGGGATATTCTTCTTGCCGTGGAAGATCAGCCCCAAAGGTTAGGAGTTGAATCCCTTTTTAGTGCGAAATCGTCCTCTTTTCTATACCCCAAATTTGCGTGTGAACCCAACAAAAAATATGTTATGTTTGGCAAGGAAACCCACATCCGTCTTAGACTTGGGATGATTAAGAACCATTCGAACAACTGACCCCAGCCTGTTCTTTGGAAATTTACAAAGCCTTGTGCATGGGTGCTATGGCAGGAAGTTGGACCGAACCAAGTTCCCAAAGTCCAATACCACAATCCGCTACGTGGATCGCAATGGGAAAATCAAATTCAAAGGGAGTCGCACACTCAAAGCAACCCAAGTCTATACCCCAGCCTTCGGCAGTGCAGTGCCTAAGCCGCTGTCAATGGGGGGTGGCATATAAAGATCATGAATACACGCTCCAAAGTGTCTCCCCAAAAGGTGACTATAGTCATGGGTAATCCATGGTAATCCTACATTCAACTTTGGGAATTCCATTGGAATTCCTTGGAATCAAAATAAGAATATTGTGCGTTTTGGGACACTATGGGATACTTATATAAGTATATGTCAGTGTTGTCCGAGGTGTATCGCAACTTCACCACCTATGCCAATTGTGCTCCGGAGCTTCGCCAAGACCTAGATTTCGAAGATGACTGGGAGGATGCTAAGTTGCTTGGGTTTAACATGCCCGTGGTTCAGAATTCACCTTTTTCTTACTGTAGTGGCCAGAGTTTAAGCTTCTTCTCATGAGGGAAACCTATTCAATGATTGTATTTGTGTGGTCTTAAATAGATAGTAATCATTCTAATCATTGTTCATGCAGCATCTTACCGAGAGGCACCATATATTCGAACCCCACGTCTGATCGCTGTAGCCCAGGCTGGATGAAGTCGAGGCATATCTTCATCAGATGCTTCGTCAGCGGAGCGAGGGATGAATCTATCCCATGAAACTTTTCACATGGAGGTCACTGCTTAAAATACATATGTCCCGCTGGATATGGTTCCACCACATGACCTCCAACTTGGAAATTCAGGGTGTTGCATTCCATGGACATCCGTCCCTAAGGATAAAAGCACGTGCACTTAATAAGTTTTTGGTACTGGGGAAGTATATGTGTATTGTCAGACTGATTCCATGGGATGTCTAGCAACACTGTGACTGCACTTATGGCAACCGCTGCAGAATCGAAACATAACATGCTATGCAGTGTCCACTTCTGGGGGTGCATCGGGAACCCGTCGGAAACCCGTCGGGAACTATGGGGTGGGTACCTCAAATCAATGGAGTTTGACGTACCGGCATCGGAAACCCGTCGGAAACCCGTCGGGAACTATGGGGTGGGTACCTCAAATCAATGGAGTTTGACGTACCGGCATCGGAAACCCGTCGGAAACCCATCGGAAACTTTTTGAAAATTTTCAGCGTCGGAAACCCGTCGGAAACCCGTCGGGAACTATGGGGTGGGTACCTCAAATCAATGGAGTTTGACGTACCGGCATCGGAAACCCGTCGGAAACTCATCGGAAGCTTTTCAGTGTACATAATAGCCATTTGGCTTTCACTCGAAACATCGCTTCTGGTTGGGACCATGTCTTCTGATCAGGCAGGGAAACCCAATTGGTTGACTTTGGTCTCAAGTACCCACAGTACCCACATGTTATCCATAACTTTTTGTTGTTGCACTTTGGGAGGCTATGGCTATATCTTTTACACCGACGAATGCGAGAGTCAAGTCAGACTTGTTCTCGAGATTCCCTGGTGCAATGCAGGCTAGATTGGGGTGAAACCTTTCAAACCATAGGACAAACATGCTGCAGGTTATAAAGGCTTAGGGATCCTATCAAGGTGCCGTGGTTATGCTGTCCCATGTTTGGATTCGAGGCCATCCGATCTACTCCAACGGCATCTCCCACGGAGACTCAGGCTCCGACCGAAGTTGCCACCCCGGCGACAGCTGAGGACCATGATTCTACATGAACCTGGGTTGGGAGTGGCTGCAAAACATGGTGGAAGTTTACTGAGCGGTGTTTTCAAATCTAGCCATATAGACCCCACAGAAATCTATATTTTTCAATGTTGCAGGATGGAGAGGACGAATTGCCAACCATACCGGCAGACCCAGAACGGCAACTTGAGTTCCAGCTTCTAGCATGCACATGGCTGTATAGTTACCTTATGTTACCTTTACTGTCCCCATGCCACCCTGACGTAGATAATATACCATGAATACGGATTGGACTTAGGCCTGTCACACCTCCTACGGTTTTGTCGAGGGCATCAACACTGGCCTCTGTGGAACTTGCGAAAGCCCCTAGTTCCTCTGTGCCCCCAGTTCCAAAGCCTTCAGTGAAACGTGAGTTGATGTTCGATGGGTTCGAAACACCTAAGAAAGCAAAAGCCCCAGTACCGACGACGAAGAAAGTAGTTTGTGCATTCATCAAGACGGAGACTTTGCCCACTGCTGCTAAGTCTGTGAATGCTCCTAAGATGGCACCGCCTGTGACTGTTTCAAAACCTGCTCCCCCGCCAAAGGGACCACAACCTGCACCTGGCTCACTGCCTGCCCCAGCCAACCCTGTGGTCCCATCGATGTCAGGCACAAAGGTTGAAGGTGTAGTTGCAGCACCGGTCGCAACTCCAGCAAGAGCAGCACCAAAGGCTCCAACCGAGACCCATGGTGAAACCCAGCACAAAGCAGCAGCCCTCCGGAGGATGAAACCCATTCCTACGACCCCACCGCCTGCCAACAAGTCAGTAGAAAATGAAGTCAACCGCCTTCTTGCCAACAAAGCAAGAGCTTTGACTGATGAGGAGATGGAGGAGATCCAGCTGGAAAATGCAATTCTAGAGGAGTTAGCCACAAAAAGCGATGATGAGCTTGCCGCTATCATGGGAGAAATTCAATGCCATCCCTTTTTCCCCAAGTTTGCCCAGGCGCAACGCGAGGAAACTGGTCTGGATGATGAGTGGTCCTTTGATGTAGTTGAACAGATTCCCATGTGGGAGATTTGGATGTCAAAGCAAGAAGGAAAAGCATCGCCCCCCCTGTCAAGTGAAGCACCGCCACCCCAGACTGTGGAACCCAAAGCTTCTGGTCCTGGTGTCTTGCACATCACCCCACCGCCGCGAAAGCATGCCCCAGCGGAGCGCCCGGTTGCAACAAAGCAGATAGTGACACCCAAAGCTTTGCACATCACCCCGCCGCCAGCAAAGCAGCCCGCAGTGACACAGGTTGCAACAGCCTCAGCCCCTCCTGTGACACCAAAGCAGCCCGCAGCAGTGACACCCAAGCACCCCCCAGCAGTGATCCCAGTTGCAAAGACTTCAATGCAGCCCCCAGCAGCGATCCCGGTTGCAAAGACCTCGATGCAGCCCCCAGCAGCGATCCCGGTTGCAAAGACCTCGATGCAGCCCCCAGCAGTGATCCCGGCTGCAAAGGCCTCAATGCAGCCCCCAGCAGTGATCCCGGTTGCAAAGACTTCCGCAGCACCTCCTGTGGCAGCACCACCGCCCTCCCTTTCAGCTTTCACCATTGGTGTCAAAGCAGGATCTAGTGTGGCTTGTTTTAAGTTTCAAAAACGAAATGATAGCAGTGGTTGTGTTACTGGTCTTTTGTATCACGCTTGTAGTGGCTATCGCGTTCATGCCTAGGTGGCTCCAATAGTCCCGACTGACTATGATGAGCGACAGGCTATGCAGGCTGAGTTCAAGAGGCGAACCATTGAATGTACTTTACTGCACATGCACACACACACATTTCCAAATGAGATGATAAACCCTTATTTTTTCAATATGGGTTGACCATGCCCCAGGAAACTCAAAAATCCCGAAGCCAACGAGATCCCTGACTGCGTGGTTGATGCTTGGAAAAAGGCTTGTGAAGACAACACAAAGACTGCCAAGACCAAGTTGTTTAACACATGGTTGCAAGCTGGAAAAGACTTTTCAATGCTACTTGCCCAGCAACAATTTCATTTTTGTGTGCGTAATGTTAACCATGGGAATTTTTAACGATCTAGTTGCCCACATATAAGGTTGGAATTCAGCTTCACGCGGTCCCACACTGACCGCATCATTGGAGACAAGAAACACGGCTGGGTTCTGAGTTACGCTGAAAGGTCACAAGGGTCCTTGCCGCGGCTCTCATCGGCTCAGGCTGGAAAACCCGTGCCCAGCTGATGGTGCACTATGGCAATGACACCACCCTCGTGGACCAACTTATCGCTCGCAAAGAGCGGGAGGGGCTCGTGCAGAACCACCCGGAAATTGAGGGTGTGAAGATGTATTGGGTACTTTGGATTTGTTTTATGAGTATCACAGTCCCGTCCATTTCGGCCACAAAACCAAAAATTAGGCGGTATCCACACACCATTTTTGAAATATAAGATTGGGGTGCCTATATTCATGGCTATGACCATTGGACTTTGGGAACCATCCTATACTTCGATTAGCTGGGATCCATACACCGTCATTTTTGAAATATAAGCTTGGGGGTTAGAGAACCAGCCTATTCACTTAGGTACTTATCGAGCTGACCCAGTCAGAACAAGAAGAGACAAATGACACTATGGCCATGGCTGTGCATGCTAAGATGCATGCTGCAAGTCAGGCTCGCTTGAATTCTTATTGATGACGAAACAAATTCATGATTTAAGACCCAGTGTATTGTTTTCCACATATACCCCCATTTTTTTCCAGAAGCCAGACTACAGGGCGCGATGAGATTTGCAGACCCATCGGTCTTCGCTCCCCGGGTCTCTATCGGCGCTCCTCCCGTGCTGAAGAAAGAGGCCCCAATGCCAACTCCTGCCAGCGGCTCCGGGCAGAATGGGGGCGATACTGAGACGGTCCCACATGTGCCAAAGGAAACGACACCAAAAGCTCCCCCATTTCAGAAGCCGAAGAAGGCACAGAAGTGTTTTAAATTGAATTTAAAGAATCTTTATCATTGTGCTTTCAAAAATGTTGGTTGGCATCAGGATGTTTAACCCCAATTTTTGGTATATATGTCATGACTCGTATCATGATTACCTATCTAAGGCCCAAAGTGATGCCATGCCCAAATACTGATCCAGTGGCAGCGCTTGATTGGCTCTTCTCATCTTTGGAGAAGGATCTGAAGGAATCGAAGATGTGGCCGATCCGATTGATGCAGCACAAGCATCAAGACACACTGAGACACTTGAACACATGGAATTCCAATTGTTCGGTTCACCATTAGCTTTAGGGGGTTGGTGCTGATACCAATTCTATCCAAGGAAATCTTCTTGCAAAGCATTCGCAGCTCATTGAAGAGAAGTATTTTGTGCTCCAGCAGTGGAAGGTCCAGAAGGACTGCTAGTGATCAAAAAAAACATGAAAGTTTGTTAACTCAGTTAACTCCTACAGTCCAGGATAGACCCTCATGCTTACGCCAGGACGCTGGCCAATCCCTGGACTTGGCCGTGCTCACCGGGGTGATTGTGGATGTGGCCTCTATCCGTGATGCTTACTTAGGTGATGCTGCGGCCGCTGCAGGCCTTTCCAAGCCCAAAGGTGGCAAAAAGAGGAAGTCAGCTGATGAGGCCCCACAACATGACTGTTTGAAATCATGCGCATTCATATAATTAATTAATAGATGTTTGGCATGCAAGCCATTGACGACTTCATCCATCTACCTATTCTGCCTTTCCCATTCTTTCCCCTCTTCGCGACCGTGAGTCGTTGTCCTCGTCTGCAGGCAGAGGACGCTGGTGAGCCTTAGGCCAAGGCGATGGACAACTTTTCTGAACTCTGGGAAGTGTAGCTGCCTAGTTGTGCCAACATGCGCCCAATGCTAGTGCAGTCTACAGGGGTGTGGTTGCAAAGGCAAAGACCACTGGATATAGCTGTAGACTATAGATTATCAACAATATTGTTACCACTCTCATTTTTTTGGTAATGGTCAGGATGATGGCTATTGGTGAACTGGTGGAGCCTTGCAGCACTTTTGCTGACCATGTGTTAACTCGACACGTGCCATGAAATCTTTGAGCAAAGATGGATTCGCTTTAGGCTGAAGAGAAAAAAGAAACATAGTCCCATGACGCCTTGATCCAGCATGCGCAGGGAAAAAAACAACATGCATAGATTCTTTGGGGCAGGACGCTATCCCCTGGACTTCTTAAACAATGAGGGAGAGCAGGCAGTGGTTAAGGGTTATCTTATGCTTTTAAAGCCACACCCAGTCCACAAAAAAATGGTATAAACTATGTGTGGTGATTTGTATACTTTTAGAAGCCCTACCAAGCCCGCAATTATTTGTGGTAGTTTGGTGCCCGTTCCCCTGCCAAGCTTGGGGGGCCCTGCAGGACACAAGCCAAGACCATCGCTCGAAGAGACCTCGGCTCACTCCATTTATTTCCCCTCATGTGCTGGAAGCTACCAAAGAGTATGACTGCAGGAAACCAGTGACACCTACTCCTCTGGGGGAATTGCTGCTTGAGAACTACGCTAGTGGCAAAAATGCTGCTACAACCGTTCCCAGGTGAAATCTGTTTGATATCTTTTGGTGTTATTGCTCCCAAGTCTTTATTCTGGCCCCAAGTTCAAATGAGATATAGCCATAGCCATAGCCAGAGATGCTCCACACTAAGGCTCAAGAAACTGCACATTCAGCTGTTACTTGGTGCAAATCACTTGGTGGAAAGCTTCCTCCCACTGACTTGGTTGGGAGGATTGGACGTACTGGATGCCATGGCCGCCACAAAGGCAACATAGAACGAGATTGCCAAACAGTCATCAATACCTTTGGAAAAAGATTTGGAGCTACGATATCTACTGCCCCTATTCGAATGTGGAACCCTAAGAAGTCACGCATTGAGGTCAAAAATCTACCGCTCATTTTCCCAGATGACTTTGCGTCAGCTTTGTGGGCCCGCTCCCCTCAACTTTTCCGGAAGATGCTTCTGGGGGATGGGAATGTGCGTGAGTATTGGGAACATTGCAGGAATTTTTGCGACTGGTTCAGGTCACACCCATCCTACAATCACCCGAACAACTGGGACAATATGGTTCATGTCACTTTACGGTGATGATGTGCAAACATTTCGAAATTCTGAATGTGGGGCGATGTCAATCGTGGCATGGTCTAGCGACCTTTCAACAGGGAACTCGTTCAAATCACGGTATTTTTTGATCACGGCATTTTCTGAGTACGAGGAGTGCGCTTACACTTTCAATGACTTGATGTCTGAGATTTCGAAACGGATCATAATGATGGTCACTCCAAAGATGGCACGAGAAAAACAGTACCCATGGCTGAAAGGTGACTACAGCTTCATGTTGTCAAGCTTACAAGGGGACCTGAAATGGGTGAACCACACCTACGGCAACCTGTTTGATTACCGCAGCAATGACTTTTGTGGCTATTGCATGTGCAAAAAACGTCATGACGTGATTGGGATGACCTTGGGTGATTTCACAGCTTCTGCCTTGCATGCGTCTACTACCAGAGTGTATAGACACGAGGATCTTGTCAATCGTTCTCCAGCTTGATTTAGTCAAAGCACTTTTGGTTCTGCGCGCTTTAGCTTCAGATTTGTAAGTGGCAACCATCATCCTATATGCTGAACATATGTACGTATATATGTTTGCGATTTTTAAAGGGTTCGAGCTCACTGCAGGTTCCGCAGTCTACACAATTCCAGGGGCACACCCCAAGAGGATACTGCATGATATGGCGCATAGCCAATATCTTGGAACTGGAAAGACATTGAACGGTGGCGCGCTGGTTGTGCTATGTGAAACCGGCCTGTGGGGAAACATGCAGGGGCCAGGCAAGTATGATGAAAAACTTCAAGTTGCCTTGCAAGAGGCGCACGCTGATTTTCTTGCATGGAAGAAGCAAAATAAAATTGCTTGTACCCAACCTCGTTTCACACTAGCTAGGGTGAATAGACGACATCGCCAAATGTGGCCGGTTCTGAATTCCAAAGCAATTGCTGGAAAAACAATTTCTTTTTTCCTCACAGAACGTGCTGTTGCTTGGGCAAACAGACCTAATGCAACGCTGTTGGAGAAAACGCTGGCAACATGCCTCTGGAGCTATGCCCGGATGGTAAGCGTCATGGATTCTGCCAAAAACATTTTTACGGAGGCAGAAGCAGAGCAATTTCAGGAACATTGTTTTGTGCATTTGCAAGCATATGCAAATTTGAATGTACAGGGCTTTAAGGCCAAAGGAAAAGAACCAGGAAGAAATTGTTTTGTGTTGCTACCAAAGCACCACTTTTTGTATCACGCAGGGGTTGACGCGAAGGAAACGCGATTAAACCCAAAACATTTTATGTTGCTCAGTGCAGAAAGCTTTGTTGGCTACGTTGGGCGTATTGGACGCCGCACGCATCGTTCTTCGCTAACGTTGCGCACAATTCAAAAGTATTTGGCACTCATGCACTTGCATGTGCAAAGGTTGGAGAGGGGTGAGCAGAGTTAAATGGTTTAAGCAAGTTTAAGAACATCTCCCCGAAGTTGACAGGGTTAACAACATTCCCCACAAAAAGTTTAGAATCATCTGCTAACCCATTTTGCCAACCCTTCGCTTGGCTCTGAGACTGTGGCCGTGTTAGCCCGTGTTGGCTGCTCATAGCCCATCAACGCGGCCGTGTGGAAAAAACAAAGGTTGGTGTGCATTCTTGGGTTTTCTGAATGAACCTTCCCTTCATATGCTAGTTACCATCCCATATGTAACCACCAAAGAACATTAGGGAAAATGACCCTGGTTACTTATCCCAATTGCTAAGTTCTGGTTGTTAACTTGAATTTGGTGATGATCATCCATTTCAACATGTTTGAGCCTCTCCTATGGCTGCCTCTGGACCTGGTATGGGCCCTTGGGCCCTCGGCAACTTCACCTCGAGGTACCGAAGGGATTTGAGGGCCCCAATGGAGTTGGGATGGTTTGGGATATATATATTCCTTTACATAGGCCTTATGTCTGGTAGGTACCTCCAATTTAGGTTCCTGAAATGGCCATTGATTTGGGGAATGATTCCCCAATTCTTCAAGGGACACCATTCAGTACCCATAGCTATGCCGATTCAAATTTCGCTGGAGCCAGCTACCCGGAGAAAAAAAAAAACTGTGAACTTATCTGATAATGAGGTAATTACGTGTTACATTCATGGTTCATCACTTTCCCAATTCAATTAGCCATAAAACCTATTGATACCTATATTGGATTATGTTCCCATTAAATCCTTCATCTATGGGTGATTTTCCATTCCATTGCTATGTTTGATTACATGAGTTTGTTTAAGGTGAAGCTGTACTTTCCGAAATGAAAAACCACCAGTTGGGGGTGGCCTTCAGCAAATCCAAGACTGTAAATTGATTTTTCATGCCTATCACTGGTATAAGATGGGATGATGGTTATTTAACTTCTTTTTTTAGTGAGCTGAAACCACCAACCAAAAGCTTGAACAAAAATGTAAAAACAGTGGATGGTCATCATTTAGCCCATCATTTTCCCTATGAAAAGTCATTGCCATTTTTCCGAGTTTGTTCCCTATTATCAGACACCCACACAGGATGGTGCCCCCCAGTTACAAGTTGGTTTATAAACCCCATGAACTAGTTCGTTATATCTACCATAAACCCAATCGAATTCACCAAGTTCCCCAAATTTCACTTTGGTACGCTGTAAGACTGTCAGCTGTTCAGGGGTCACAGGGGACGGTCGCTGTAGACACAGTGGACATTATGGATTCAATGCGGGCTTTGGCATGGTAGGTCCTGATAGGTAGGTAGTGGGTATAGTGTCGATACCATTTACCATTGATACCATAACCATGGATTCGTTGTTGCCTTAATTTTTGACGCGGCACAGTGTGTCACACGGCCACACGGTGAAACAATTGCATATGGCTAGTAATGGCTACTGGCTACTTGCTAGTACTGACTAGTCACTGGTCACGTCGTTAGCCCAGTGCTCAGTGCCCAGCTATCTTTCAAGGTTATGCTGATGAGACATCGACAGGAGGAATTCCGAAAACAAGGTCCATCCTTCTACTACTTGAGCTCCGATGCATCGTTGCAGCGAGGAGGCCAAGACTTTCAGTTGACTTTGGAAGATTCCATTCTAATGGAACATGCGGCCCGAATTTTTCACGACGCGGGCAAGTTCGATGCAGACTCCTGGAACAGCGCAGAGCTGCTGAGGACCACATGTCTGCCTGCTTCTTTGTTGGGATCCGCCAATTCCGGCATAGCAGGCAAATACGAAGCATTCGTTTCTGCAAACAAGCTTGATGTCGGACTCACTGGCATGTCAAAGTACGGCGCGCGTGTCGTCAGCTTCTGTGCCGACTATGGAACAGAATCGAAGTTCTGTGATGAGCCTTGCCTGCACATGCTGTCTATTTAAGTAACTTGTAGACTTGGGGCGCTTGGGGTAGTATAGCAGACTTTGAATAGGAATAATTGGGCCTTAGACTTAGACTGGGAGAAAGAAATGGAACATAGATATTCGATGATCGGGAATTTCATCCCGTTCAGCGTCAACTTGTCGCGTTTTCACAGCTCCCTGGAGCACCACCGCACCGCGCTGAGGCATTGATCACCCTGCATGGTCAAAAGTATGAAACCATTCGCTTGCACGGGATCCCGGATCCGATGGGTTGCGGTTGGTGGTCCTTTTTAGAGGACTTACATGGGACATAATCAGCATATTTTGCGGGCTTTTTAATGGAGTTTTGGCTACGTATGTTGATGTATGATGTTCAACCCCCCTGTTGGTTGTTATTCAAACTCCTGTTTATTATATTGTATAATCCCCATGAACTAGTTCGATAGATCTACCATGCACCATGAATCATAAAATTCACCAAGTTGAGCTAACAAAATTTTGGGGCACCACCTTGTACTAATCCAGGGGTCACCAGGTATTCGGCTCTGCATGATTTTCTTTCTGAGAGACTGGCAAACTGCCCTCAACATTCCGTAACTGATTGCTACGCAGGTTTCATGGCCACGTTCAATAAACTTAGACAGACAGTTGCATTTGTTTTGTTTGTTGGTTCGTATACCCCATTTGATTGAACAATTCCACTATAATACTCTATAATATGTATATGTATGTATATATATACATATACATATACATATATATATATACATATATACATATATATATAATATAGACATATGTGTAAATGTACATCACATTCACAGATAAATGTATATATATGTATATATATATATAAATGTATATTATATATATATATGTATATTATATATATGTATATTATATATATACACATTTATCTGTGAATGTATATGTGTGCATGTTATATATATATATACATACGTTACATACATACATACATACATACATACATGAACTAGAGGTTGATATTGGCGTGGAGCACGAAATTCGCCGTGGAGAACACTGAGAAGAAGCAGGCCTTTATACATTGCATCATCTCTGGAAGGATGTCAATGTCTTGGAGACCGGACAGGGCGAGTGCCTTGTATGCAGAAAAATATGCAAAGTTGACGTGGAGATTGACATCCTCGCCACTGGGCCTTCTTGCAAGAAGGTTTCCAAAATGAACAATTACCGGAACCTTGCCAAGTACATATGTATATATAACTAATACATATATATGTAAATATACATATTTATACAAATATGACATATGTATATTTACATTGACATATACTCTCTGGTAAACTAACAGTTTGCTATTGAACATGGCCATTGAACTAGTTGATTGACCCATTTCAATGATAATGTTCCATAGTTTTGTTAGTTTTTAACAGAGGATTTAATATATATATATATAATATCTATATTATATATATAATATATATATATAATATATATATATATAATATATATATAATATATATATAATATATATATAATATATATATAATATATATATAATATATATATATATACCCATCTCCCCCAAAAATTGGGGCCATGATATCCCATATCCCAGTTCAACTAGCGTTCGCGGTTGCGCGGTTGCGCTAGGCCGGTGATTGGCGGCAAAGTCTTGGCGGTGTCCAATACGCAGTTCACCATCCGGGAGGGTGGAGACAATGCCATCGAGGAGGGCAACGTTTGGAGCCCAGTTTGGGGGGCTTTGGATGAGAAAATGATGGGGCTTTTGCTGACATACCCTCTGGTAAACTTACAAAAAACTATGGAACATCACCATTTTATAGCTGGGTAAATCCACTATAAATGGCCATTTTCAATAGCTATGTTAGTTTACCAGATGGTAAAATCCGCAAAAATCATGGGGAAATGATGATTTTTACCATGACTTAATCATGACCTAATCCAGAAACACGATGATGTCCATGGGTTTTGGAGTTTTAGTTGATGTATGAGAGCGTTGGTAAACATAACTGGGTGAACTAGAGTTGTGGTGATCATAACTATAGATGGGTTTATGCACAAGTGTTTAAAGTGATGGGATATTCCATGGGAGAACAGCAATACATCGAGATGTAACATGCTTTAATCCATCAATTGGAATCTCACCATTAAACATCGGGAAATTATGTTTCAAACTTCAAGTTCGACCGTAAAAAATGTATGTCACATTTTCCATCAGAAAATCTCTGGTAGAAACATACCACTTGCCACGCATTTTGGCACTGGGATTTTCAATTTTGATGATAACCAAGTGGAATTCTTCAATTTACCATCTGGTAAACTAACATAGCTATGGAAAATCACAATTTTTAATGGGAAAACTCACTATAAATGATCATTTTCAATAGCTATGTTAGTTTACCAAAGGGTACCACTTTTTTTTTACAGATTTGACTTTTCAACGCATGGATTGTCCTCGGGTTTTCGATGGTTTTGTCCTGAGATTGGCACCCTGGACATCCACGGAAAGCCGCGGCTCAAGGCCGTGATGGGATGACAATGTTGGGCCTGTGCGGGAAGATATACAACTCCTGCAACTAGTTGGTAACACATATATCACATCAATGGGGTAAAATCTGAGCCAGTTATAACTAAGTTATAAGGGGCTATAACTGAAGGGTATTGAAGATGATTTAAGATCATTCAACACCTTAAGTAAGAATGAAGATGATAAACATGATTATTTAAGATGGTGTCGGATTCTTGTCTTGACTAGTTGGCATGAATTAAGATGATTTGAGTTATGATTTAGTGAAAGGACTTGAAATGTCTTGCGCAACCTTATAGAGAGATTTTTCGATGCTCCTAGTGACATTTGAACAGTTGTTCCAGGATGTTTATTGGATGGCCTTCTACTCCACCGCTTGCGATTTTCCAACTTTCTTTTTTTTATTTCTAAAGTAAGACGAAGAAAGAAAAGCAATGAAATTATGGACTCACCATGAATTGGCCAACCTGAATTGAATGATAGGACAACTATCTAAACATGCATATTTCAGCACAAACAGGGAAACACTAATGAAACTACACGCAGCAAACATGGG